AATTCTGTTATCAAAAATTTTATATCCATGCTATTTGGAAGTGACTTCTCATTTTCTGAGACTGGCACATCAATTACCTAGGTAAAAATAATTACTTGTGATTATATTACAGCAGTACCACAACAGTAGACAAGAAATTAAGATGGCAGAGAAGACTAACAGGTAAGCATTGCACCTCCTAACCACACTTTCTTAGGCAGGCTTGGCAAAAGAAAATTTTTTTAAAATAAGCCATTCTGGAGAACATATTTAAGCATCAAAGACAAAAAAAAAAAAAAATCAAGAATTATGGTTGGGAACTACATTTCTAGCCTAGGGAAAATAAGCTGCAATCCAGTCTATACTGGATTTATTATCTCTACAGAAGTAGCTGCATTCAGAGATTAACAGCATAGTTTACACTAGATTTGCTCAGTGTTTGAACATGAGCCTTGAAACACAGGCAGTCATGTATAAGTCTGTGTAAGACTTCAGATGCTTTAAGATGTTATGCCTGGACCCAGTGGCTGACAACTAAATCCTTGCCAGATTGGCAGAGACTTTTAGCTCAGGAAGAGGCACTGCACTCTGCCTCTCACCTACATACTTACATCTACTGCTTTAGACAACTACCTTTATTACCATCAATCCTGAATTTTGGATGCAAGAATAAAATGGCCTAAATTAGCGTCATGCAACACACAGAGGGACAAACAGAAGAGTCTGAAAGAAAGGCAATAAGCAAGGAAGCTGAGAAACAGGAAGCTGAAAGCAGACCATCTTTTTCAGCTACTATTTACTTTTATTTAAATCTCTGCACAGGTGGAATGAACTTGAATGCTAAGGCAAAAAAGTGATAAAAGCAAAAGATTAATTCTTACTGATAAGGCCCCAAGGTGCAAAGTTTCTCATCCCTGGCTCGAAGAAGGAAGCAGTCTTGAACTGCTGTACTGGCTCAGGGTTGTAAAACAGATTTTGATCCGACTGAAAATGACAGTTTCTAGCCTGCTCAGGGGAAAGTTTAGGTGCTGCTGAACTTCAACTGTTGTTGAAGATGTGCAGTAAACCACTCAATACTTTTGATATAAAAAGGTTTTGCTTAGATGGACTTGTATGCTAAAGGAAAAAGAAAAACAACAAGCAAACAACAACAGACATGACTAGCTGCACAATTATAAGACAAGGAAAAAACTAAAGCAATAGACAAGAACACAGGAAAATTTAAGAGACTACAGCTGTAATGACATTTCTCACAAGCATGCTACAAGGAACATAGGAAAAGAGTAACGTCTAGATACCAAGTAAGCAGCAAATACATTAACCTAGAAGAAACAATATATATGGCAGCATACACAAGATCAAATTAACCATGCACTACAAAGTGAGATAATATGCTTATTTAATAGTCCAGCTTAAGTCATCACAACAGACAGGGAATTGTTTTTCTGCAGTGCCATGACACTTTACAAATGAAAGCTGTTGCTTATTAACATACACAGGACAATTTCTTTCAATACAAAAACATTACACCGTTTCATTTGTTCCACAAAACACTTTTCCAGGTTAAAAAACTCCAAAACATGATGTTACAAATATTTACAGCATTTTCTTGTGTTAGATGAACACTTTTATAAGCCGAAAGGGAACTTTTATGAACAAAGCATATAAAATAACAATTCTTAGCCAACTTCTTTGGGACTCCTCTAGGCACAACATACTATTACTATTCAAGGTTGAATACATGGGTTATGCTTGGATTCCTGCATATTGCAGTACAAAAAAAAAAATCAATGGTAAAAGCAGAGGAACAATTAAATCTATATTGAAACAGCTGTAATTGATTTCTTGTATAGTCAATGGACAACTTTCATTTTTAACAATAAAAATACAATTTCCAGGCAAAAAAAAAAGTATCTATTGTACTTAAGACAGCAACAGATATGAAAAAATGTACTTTCAAAACTACTGAAGGCACATAAACTTTGGTCCAATCTTGTTCCATCCCTGCTCAATAAACTCCTGATGCTAAATATCTTGGTATTTAACCATTCTTTCTTGGAATAAATCACATTTCTTAACTGTTAGGATTTGCTTTGAAGAGAGCAGACAGTTCTCCATATAGCAACCAAGTAGAAAATGAAATTAATTTGTAGGAAAAACTGTGCAATATTACCAAGTATCTTTCCAGCACAATGGTAACAACACTAAGTCTGGTAGTTCTGCTACAGTTAAGAACATACGAGAAGAAAAGGTAAAGGCAAAACAATGTTTTTTTTTGTAAATAGTTGACCTCTCATTTGAAAAACAGCAGCATAAACTAACAGTATACAATGACAAGTAGCAGATTCACAGTAGTAGTATGAGAAAACTCTTCACTTTCCTACTGACATGAATCAGAGGAGGGCAAGATATTTGATCACACAAACCACACCATCAGTATTATCGACAAAAGCAAAGAGTTTTCTCAGCATATAAAGGCAGGTTTGATGTCTGTAACCAGAAAATGCATAGAGGCAAATCTCCTCTGTTACAGGGAGCATCTTAGGCATAAAAAGGACCTCAACCCGCCAGTGCACAAAAATAGAAGTGCAACTGACAGAAGCAGCACACAAGGCATCCAAGTCAAATCATGAATCAAAGTTCTGATGTGCAAAAACATTCGAATAAATTTTATAAAGCAAGTTTTACTTTATGCAAGAAATCACACATCATTTGAACAGGCACTGTGTTGTTAAAAAGGCCTTAGGATGCTTTGAATCAAGTGTGCATCCAGCAAAAGAAATGGAGCTAGGGGTAAACCAGAGCCGATTTGTGGATACAACGTATATGTAGGCACAAGTCTACCCTCAACCATTCCCAGTGCCTGGAGTCAGGCTATAACCACTAGTGTTTTAAAGTACACATTTTGGGTTACACTATGCACATTACCAGGTTCTTCACAAGTTATTTAGACATTTAAACTGTAGGGTTCTACATTTCAAACTGCAAACAGCCCAAAGCTGACATTAGCTATACTCTGACACTGCGTTGGAAGTGAGAAATTATTCCTTTCACTTTTTGAGAAAATGTCAGAGGCCTTCATCCATTCATGTTTGGTTTGTTTTTTCCATCTTCTGCTATCAGAGTCAATGAATTAAAATGTACATGCTTTAGATGTTAGCATACACATAACATATTACACAAATAGTAATATGTATACTGCTCCTGATATTATATGTGCCAATATTTGCTCTCAGATTTAAGATTCCTTTTCCTGCTTTAGAGTTACATTCAGCTTTGGTATGATTTCCCTCCTCTGTAGCTGTAATTCTTATGAAAAGTGACAAGGCATGTTTTATGGAGAATGGCCTGGTGTTATCAAACGAATTTGCGTGCAGCAAAACCAGGAACATTCACAGTCCAGTAAGGTTCTCTTTAACAGATATCAGTGTGACTGCTAACCAGGTAAGAGACATGAATTAGAATCAAGTATCTTGGTGAAAAAGGACCTATGCAAATGAATGAGCATGCAATCGCACTTTTTAATATGCTGCTCTGTCACCACACAATTACTTTTATGAGTTGAAAAAAAATTATTTTGCTTTCAAACTTCACTCAACTGAATTAGCTACTTCAGAAAGGGGAAAACTGGAAAGTCTATCTCAAATTCCAAAAGCGAATGGGCTATTTATTATTCCTAAACCCATTTAACCTTCCACTAAGTAGTACAAGTAGTACTGACCATTTCTTCATATTTACAAAAGAGAGGATTATAGCCTTCCATTACTTGAAGTTTAAAACTGAGAGAAAGATGAAGGAACCCAAAATATTCTGACACAGCCAGTGCCTCCAAAAATTCTATAAAGTCCAGAAACTGGAGCAAATTTGCTGCCTGGTTGTTGTAGATAGGGTTTTCCAACTACATTTTTCTGGGTGTGATTTTTTTTTTTGGCCAAGTCCAGGTATCAGAAAGCTGCAACCCAGTAAATTCAAAAAGTCTCTATATGGTTATGCAATGAATCAAACCTTGTTCCCACTGCTATCCAATTTCTATATCCAAGAACTAGAGTTCACAGTATTACTTAATTAAAAAACCATTTTGAAGTATCAAGGAAAATGTTTCCAAAAAGACCAAGAAGAGAATTTTCACAAAAGGCCACAATATGTTTTTCAAGATACCTCAGATTAAACTCTAAGCTACTGTATCATAAGCATGTACTAAGGCACATAAAAAATTAAGCAAATACACAGCAATTTAAGTATTAGATATCACAGTGGTACAAACACCTCCTGAGGTTTGATTTTTCTGTCCCCAAACCTGATCTTAACAAAAATAACTTCTTAAATACTTGTCAAACCACCACAGTCCTGGATATTTTCCAAAAATTGTAAACATTTTATTCTTTAAAGAACAGTAAGAAGTTCTTTAAAATCAGGACTATTTTCTTAATTTCTCCAAAGTACTATGACACATTGCTTCACAGTAAAAATGAGAGATTGAACATTCATTCCATGATTAAGTCAAGTTCAGTCTCTGATATCACATCTTGAAGAAACTTGTCAATCCAGAGAGAGAAGGCATTGCCTTTTCTCTTATAATTTAACCCGTATAAACTTTTTTTCTAAAAAATTTACTTGTAAAGATTTGCCAAAGTATGAACACACACCCTGGCAACATAAATACTATTTGAGGACACTTATAATCAGTGTTTGCTTTTCTCAAAGAATCCCCAGCAATATTTCACATTCAAATTAGTGTATAATCTGTGTAGAATAGATTTACCATTTTGTTAGAAACACTCTTTGGCATAGTGTAAAAATAGTCCAAAATGTTTTGTAAGGCTGATTTCAGACAACAGCCTAAAAGATGTGCTGTCAAAACAAAATTTTTAGTAAGAAAACAGATTATAAATATTGTTGCTAAACTTATTTCACAGAAGGATCTTTCTATGGATCAACATAGCACTTTGATCACATATTGGCAGCTATATAACCAGAAAAGGAACTGTGATGCAGTCTTTAAAGGAAAGTTCACAGAAAAGTCAGATTTTATATTTTGAGAAGGAAACTCGGAGGTGGTGTTTGGATCCAAAGTCATAGTGGTGAATCTCGATGAGAGCGTGAACTGCTTCCTCCACAGAGCCCAGCTGGATTAGAGCCATTCTGCCATCTTTCCTGAAGTACAATAGAAAACATTATTAATGTAACCCAAATTTTCATCACACTAGCCAACACAGAATAGTGATGCAAGTACTTTTTCAGCCACATCATGCACACTGAACACTTGTACGGAAGAATCAGAATGAGTTCTGCACCTATTAAAATGAGAAGATAACAGAACAATACAAGTTTAGAAGATGAATGGCCTATATCCGTGCCACCAATTACCCTGCACTTCAAAAAACAGGGTCAAAATAAAAGGACCTTGAGGTGCTGGAGTGGGTCCAGAGAAGGGCAACAAAGCTGGTGAAGCATCTGGGGAACATGTCTTATGAGATGCAGCTGAGGGTACTGAGGTTGTTTAGTCTAGAGAAGAGGAGGCTGAGGGGAGACCTTATTGGTGTCTACAACTACCGGAAAGGAGATTGTAGGGAGTTGGTGTTGGTCCCTTCTCCCAGGTAACCTGTGATAGGACTAGGGGAAATGGGCTCAAGTTACACCAGGGAAGGTTTCGATTGGCTATTAGGAAGAATTTCTTTCCTGAAAGAGTGGTGAGGCTCTGGAACAGGCTGCCCAGGGAGGTGGTGGAGTCACCATCCCTGGAGGGGTTCAAACAACATGTAAATGTGGCACCTGGGGACATGGTTTAATGGTCATGGTAGTGTTGGGTGATGGTTGGACTTGATGATCTTAGAGGTTTTTTCCAACTTTAATGATTCTATGATTCTAGGAGATAAGGCTTGAAGAGCTGTAAGAAACACTTGGCACTGTCCATAGACATGGGATTATTCTAGCAGGTATGATCATGTTAATATAATGCTGCCAAGCAACCTGGAGGAATGTTAGAGCAGTTCATTGTCATCTTTTATATGACATTTTACACACATGCAGATAGTATTTCTTTAAAGAAGCAAGTATTTACTTTCCTTAAACTTACCCTATTTTGAATACACACTGAAAAATATTCAGCCTTTTGGCAAATTCCTTTATGCTAATATAGCATCCCATTTAAAATTTTAATATTAGAATTATAAAAACTGTCATAGCTATACAACTTTTGCATATAGATAAATGTACATGGAATTTTGTCTATAGTTATACACACAGAATTTGAAAAAAAAAAAAAGCACTATTATCCATCTTCCAGGATGAAAGCCTATTTGGCATTTTTGCAATAGAACTTACTCAAAGAATTTGAAGGCCTTCACAGTAAATCCCTTATTTGCAAAAATGGTCTTCACACAATCAGCAGTAGCAGAAAGCCTATTTTAAAAGAAACAAAAGAAACGCACCAAAACTCAATTTACAGAGTTCTGCAATAGTATCAAAATCATTGAAGAGCAAAAAAATCTCTCTTCAGCAACTCAAGCCACATCAACACTTTATCCTGGCTTTGACACTAAGGTTTAGCACCAGTGTGCCACAAAAATCTTTCAGATACACTCCACTGTTTTTCATCCTCCTCCATTCCTGCCTTTGTTAAATTCAGACTGCATAAAAGTCACTTAAGATCATAACCCAGGTTAGGGGTTGACCTACTTGAAAGCAGCTCCACTGAGAAGGACCTGGAAGTCCTGGTGGATAACAAGTTAACCAGGAGCCAGCAGTGTACCTTTGTGGCTGAGAAGGCAAATGGCATCCTGGGGTGCACTAAGGAGACTGTAGCCAGCAGGTTGAGGAAGGTTCTTCTCCCACTCTCCTCTGCCCTAGTGAGGTGACATCTGGAGAACTGTGTCCAGTTCTGGGTTCCCCAGTTCAAGAGACACAGGGAACTACTGAAAAGAGTCCAACAGAGAGCTGTGAAGATGATTTGGGGACTGGAACATCTCTCTTATGAGGCCGAGAGACCTGGGGCTGTTTGGCCTGGAGAAGAGAAGGCTGAGACTAGAGGTCATCAATGTTTATAAATATCTGAAAAGTGAGTGTCAAGAGGATTGGACCAGATTCTTTTCAGTGGTGCCCAGTGATAGGATAAAGGGGAAAAAGGCACAAACTGGAACACAGGAAGTTCTGCCTCAAGAAAAGGAAAAATATTTTTCCTGTGAGGGTGTCAGAGCACTGGAACAGGCTGCCCAGAGAGGTTGCAGAGTCTCCTTTTCTCTCCAGAGACTTTCAAAACCCAGCTGGACGTGTTCCAGCATAACCTGCCCTAGCTGAACCTGCTTTAGCAGGGGTTTGGACTAAGTGATCTCTAGAGGTCCCTTCCAGCCCCTACCATTCTGAGATCGTAATTACTGCAAGCGTGCTTCATGTTTTCAATGAAAAGTTTTCCATTTTACTCAAATTATTTTCTAAGTCTTTTTTTTTGTTTGTTTGTTTGTTTTGGACAAAATGCCCTAGTTTTCCCTTTTCGCTCCCTGCACAGATATGGAACAAAAGAAGCCTGTAAAAAACTTATATTTGGCCATTGCTCCACCCATTGCTGACAACATTCTAGATAGGAAAATAAGTTCAGTTTTAAAGAACATGCTTCTTAATACATTTTTTTAAAAACAGATTCCTCTCTATGTAAGATTTCTGAATTCTGTAGAGAATTTTATTTTTAATGTGTTAGAATGATTAAAAACTATATCTACATTAAATAATAACAATGATGAATTTGTTGTAATGTAAGTCCAGTACCTTATCTCCAAAATCATCTTTAATCTTTGCAAAAATTTGTAACAGGGTGTAATATGTGAAACCAAAAGCATATTCAAGAAAACATTCATTGTATTAACACCCGTTTAAAAAAGCATTCAGCAGTTATCTTCTTTGCTAGCAACAAAAAAGTGACAGTGAAAGGATTCGCTTATTGTTGACTATACAGCAGAATGACTCAAACTCTCAGAAAACTTGTAAAGAGCCAAGTGAATTTAAAGGTTACATCAGACTTTGTAACTTAAGAACATAACCTAAAAAAACATATTTCAAAGAAGCTCTCATGTGTGTATACTCACGGGATGTTGGAGATGTGCAGGGTGGCAGATGGAGGATAGATATTTTGGACGTTCTTTGAGTTAGCCTTCTTAAAACGATGTAAAAGGCTATTCCTATAGTCCTGAGTCAGACCACAGTCGTCTTGTCCCTCACAAAGATAAACTGTCTGACACTTCGAAAGAGTAACATGGAGCACCCTTCCGTAAAGCATCTGTCCATCCAAGTGGCTGATAGCTAACCAATGAAAACATAATTTGAACAGGAATGAAGGGAAGCAAGTTAAAAAGGCATTATTTGACTACTAATATTGGTTTCCATTTAGTATCAGATTTCACATTCTAAATTTAGGCTGTAACTTCCATGTCTACCAGGTGGGCTATGTCATAACTTTAAAACAAGTATAAGGACATAATATAACCTCTGGTCTAAATGCAACTAAAATGCAAACCAGTAGTTCAAGAACAACCAGTTGATCACTCTTAAAAAGCTAGATATAGGAAAAACTACAAAAAAAAAAATTGTATCATGTATGTATTCTAACATTTACTAGATAGATTCAGAGGATTATTTCTTTTAAACTGCAGGAAAATAGCTTGTTTACATGAAAGGAAACAGATCATTATCAACTTACACAAGGAAGTTTGTATGTAATAAAACATCAGTGATGCATTTAATTTATGCTTGTCACTGACAGATTGCAAATTCCTCATTTATGTCATACTCATGCTAGTTTGAAGCATAACTGTGCCTTAAAAATCAGTACCTAATTTAGCTTGCATTGTATCTGCCATCTGAATCAAAGCATTTTCTCTTTTCCTAAACATGATCTTCACACGCTGCACATTACCATACACACCTGTGGGAATCCAGAACAGAGATTTGTACAGAGCATTACAAAAACAGTGCAGGGGTAAGTCTGTTTCATCTGACTAATGTTAGTGTTGCAAAGAATTATCACCTCATTAAACAGGTTAGTTAAAATATTAGTATGAAGGAAAGCTTTAAAGTTTGTGTATTATTCTCTTAAGCTTGGAAATGGGGGAAAAAGCCTGGGATCTTAGTCATAAAACTGCATGTTTATGTTCAGCTTTTAATATGCCTTGCTAAGAGGACTTTAATACTCTGGCACTCTAAAATATTACTACACTAACAAACATCATTCTCTGCAACTGACGTACATGCCAGTTCTATACTCCTTTTCTTCAGATGCTGTGTTTTTCATCTTACCTTGCTTTTTCATTCAACAAATTGCACCACACACTTAAATTATTCTGACACCGTAACCATTTCTCCATTTTTGGTACTTGTGGCCTGCAACTACAGACTCAAGTTGTCGTTTTAAATGTACATTCTCTTGTGCGTTTTCTGGGCAAGGACAGGACAATGGAGCTTGCATTAACCAGTATGTGTCACAGAAATAAAAAGAATGCTAGCCCTCTAGCTTCTAAAGGTACATTTGACATAACTTACCAAACAGGATGAAAAGTTTCTGTGGTGTGACGAACTGTTTAAATGATAAAATGAGTTATTTTTAAAGCCATGCAAAATGGAAAAATCTATTCCACAAGTACACAGTAAAAAACGAACAGAAGACCTACTGCACACATACATCAACTTGTCTCCAAAAGCTGTTCCTTACAGTGTGTAGCATTCTTGTCAATATGTATTTGCCATGCACACAAAATATTTAAACAAGCTAACACTTCATCTCATGCATTTTCACCACTGAAGACTCAGTCTGTCATGCCAAAAAAGTTAGATTTTAAGTGTCTTAATTATTTGAAATAATTATTTTTGCAAAACCAGAAAGATCCTACCAATGTTTTGAAAGGTACTTGATTTGTCATGCTTCTACCTCCTTTTCTCTTCCCTCTTGTTTCTCTAACTCCTCATTGTTTGTAGCAAATGAAAAATTCTTTGGCTTCTTTAATAAAGGCAGACCACAGGAGTTATATTTACAGAGATACACTAAGTTTAGTCATAATATATGTTGTCTACCTCTTCAAACATTTTTCATGTCTGACCATAGATTTTCTCTAATTACTAGCTACACTGCTAACATAGGTTCCCTAAAGTAAATTGTGTGAAGCAGGAAGTATTTCAGCCTCACCAATATCTCAAACTATCTCAAGCCAGAACAGAGCTGGCCTGTGTGTTTGTTTTTGGTGTTTTCTTTATAGTAAAAGCATAAGGGTTTCCTCTCTTATTCCTTCAGCTAATGTGAGTTTGCAAGAAGGATTCTGGCAACTGGTACAAGTTCATAGTTGCACCAGTTCCATTAATGAAGCTTACTTCAGTGTTGAGGTTGTTCACTAGTACAACACAATGTGGTAGAACATCAGTAGCAGAAGGAACAGTCATATGTCCAGATGCTGCAGATGTGGGAGAACGATGCACAGGTGGAACCGAAGTATCTGGAAGGGTATTAATAGCATCATGGGACATCTCAAAGTGGAAAAGACATTTCAGAAGACAAAAGCAGGTTGCATTTGTCAAAACCAACAATATTAAATAAGAATGATTTTAAGGAGTTTAGCTCTTCCTAGTATCTGACCAATAAAACAGGAAGCACCTCCCCTCCAGAGGTGAAGAAATATTCAGCTACACCAACAGACCCAAACAAAAGTGTACATAAACTACATCCCAGGAAAGAAGAAAAATAATCTGGCACAGAAGTTTATCCTGTGCTACAAAGGAAAAACTTCTTGAGTCTAGATTATTTAGCTATCATTTTATAGCCAGATAAAAGGGAAACTTTCTGCTTTAGCTTTGAACAACATTGAAGTCTTACAATTCTTAAAAAAAAAAAAAGATGCTTAGTTTCTTCTCTTGCAGATAATTCTTTATCATGACATTTAGTTTCTTATTAAATGATAAACCTCATCAGCTTGTTTTTTTCTTTACAGAAAGTTATTTTTACTGAGTAATATGAGAAATAACCAGAATGACTCAAATGAACATTGTGTTCTGACCACTATATTTGAAAATTATTTGCTCTGAACACAGGTGTATTCAGACAGATCACTAGCACCAAAGACAAATGCCACATTTTCAGAAAACAGAAACTTACCAGGAGGTTTAGTAATACCTACAGGTGAGGTAAACCAAGAACTCCCTGAATGTGATGGAAAGATGGTATTTTGGAGGCCTGGGGAGAGCAGACACATCTAATTAAAACAGATTTTAAAATTTTTAGTAAACAGAAGAGACTTCAGCAATGAGAATCATATTCCAGTGTTGCTATTCTGGCTTCAGTTGATTACATATTTTATAAAATGCTTGGGTTAAAACCTTATGGAAAGTCGATATTCTATGTTTCACAAAGATAAAATTCAGCCACTACTGAAGGCAGAAATTCCCATCAGCCTCAATGTCCTTCTCTGAAACAAAGTCAGGGTAAAATATAAATCAGAGAAGTTTGACTAGAAAAGCACAGCATAGATTAGTATCCATTAAAGTTAATACACCTGCGATGCAAAGTTCAATTGTTTTTATTCACACAATAGAAATGCATTCTAGAAATTTTCTGGAAGTAAATACACTCAAAGACATTTTGCAGTGATGAAATACAGCTACTCCTTAGATATTTCCAAACCCAGTACGGTCTAAACAGTACAAACTACAATGAATATGAAGTTCTCAATTTTGATAGCTACTGAGATATATAAAGTATACAAGTTACACTTTTTGAGGAGATGTACTTTCCGAGCTCGTATTACTTCATAAATAAGCAGTGTTTTTTTATGGTTTTCCTGCCAGTCACAAGCATTGAACATATTTGTAATATGAACATATGGAGATCCCAGCCTTGAAGACAGCTCAGTGATTTTCACAAGTCTGTGGAGTTCAGTGGTACACGGGACAGGACACAAACCTGTGTTGTAGGAGCCAGCTGGATACAAGCTCAAGTTGTGGATTCTTCCGTGTTAGCACTTAAGGAGCATATGTAATTGGCAAGTAGTCGTGCAAGCCTGGCTATATGTCTGTCTTACTACTCAAACCTCCACCATGGACTGAAATAGCTACATTCACAAACAGGTGGTTATTGACAGGGAGAAAAACGTTAAGTATGTGTTATGAATTACAAAAACAACAAATGAAACAGACACCACAGGTCAAGTACTCATGAATAATGCCTCAGGTAATACCTCCTGGTATCTGTAGCAACAAAGTCTTTCACACAAACAACTAAACATTTATCACACTAAAGCAAGTAACTGTGTTCTTGAAATGCACATGTTGCCAGAACTTGTCAGTATAATGCACCCATACAAGTATCAATCACTTAGTCACAGTCCAAGAATGGCAATGAAAACGTTAATGAAGAAGTGGATAAAGTGCTTTTATTCTGCCAAATACTACCTTCATGTTGCACACTGATACCAAAATCAGGCATGGAAAAATTGTTAAACAGAGCTGATGCAGAAAGATCTGGAATTCTTGGTTTCATTTTTTTAATGTGTAAAATCATTTGCATCACAGTCAATGCTCTGAAAGCATAATCTCTTTGGTGGTTTGCATTATCATCAAAGATGATTAAATGAGCATGCCTGAGTTACTTATGCCTAACCCTAACCCTATGTTTCACAACATGTTACAAATGCAGTTTTTCGATAACACTCTGAATTTGCTCAAGAGAATTTCTCATGTTTCAGATATAATATTTCAGATATTAGAGTTTCCGGTACTCATTTATCTTGAGTAGGATTTTCTGCTTCCCAAACAACTCTACTGGGCCTAACAAACACATGTGCACAAATGTACCCTTCTATGAACCTGATACGACACCAGAACATGAATGCATAATGATCTTGTTGTGTATTCATCACTAAAAGTGAAGGTTTCTTACCAGAGAAAGGACCTGTGGGTGGCTGCAGGGGTATCCGGCCATCCCCATAAGGAGAGTTGGTGCGAGTGAAATCTCTGCTTTTGTGACCGTTGTACTTTACCTGAAGACTCCTTAAGTGGGAGAAATCAATGCGCAGACTGCAGCACGCAGCATAGATATTTTGGCCATTCAGAGCCTGATGAAAAATAGAGTTTCGGAGACAAAACAGTGTAAGTCCCCACTATGTTTATTTTATTTTCACCCCACAATTGTACCCAAGCAGAAATCAATCTTTTGTTTTTACAGTGTTGCTTTTAAATACCAAGTAGACAATTATGCTGCCACTATCCTTACCTAAACATCCTGAGTACAAGTGTCATCAAATAATTAGTATTATTACGGTGCCTTATGCCAATGGTTGAAACACAGCTTTAAGCATGATTTGTTTTTCTAGCTGTAATTCTAATCTTACTTGTCTCTCACTCAACAATATCAGATACTAGTAGCAATACTAATGTGGAGATTTTTATTGTACTTAAGATGGTGATGGGTTTTCAGCAAAATGTCCTATGAGGAGCAGCTGGGGTTGTTTAGCCTGGATAAAAGGAGCCTCAGGGGAAGCCTTATCACTCTCCATAACTACCTGAGAGGAGCTTGTAGCAAAGTGGACATTGGTTTCTTCTCCCAAGTAACAAGCAATATGACAAGAGGAAAGGGCTTCTAGTTGTTCCAGGGGAGGTTTTGTTTGAACATTAGGAAAAATTTATTCACCAAAATGGTTGCTAAGCACTGGAACAGGCTGCCAAGGGAAGTGGTGGAGTCACCATCTCTGGAGGGATTTAAAAGACAGGCAGAAGTGGCACTTAGGGACACAGTTTAGTGATGACTTGGCAGTGCTGGGTGAACAGCTGAACTTAACGATCTTAGTTTTTTTCCTACCTAAACTATTTTATAAAGTCCATCTTTTTAAGAGCAGCTATGCTCAGAGAGATGACTGAAGTAGTATTTTCTGCCCAAAAGAAAGTCATAAAAGGATCATGATTGATGAAGGGGCAAAAGAACACCACTCAAAAGATGACAGTTTCTTATAATTATTTAATATAATCCAGGCTTAACTTATAATTTGTTAAATCTTTAACAAGGTATAATTAATTATTAATACAGTTCTTTAAGAAAAGATGCTGTTGATGAGAAACAGGCTATAATCATAACTACATTTAATTTCCCATATATACTTAATCTCTAAAACATAGTGAATTTATTTACTGGTCTAAAGTGCACACAGAGCAACAGATAAATACTCCATGCCTTTAATTTTGAAGCCAAGAATAGAGTCAGAGGTAGAGTAAAAGTTCCATTTACTCTAGTCTTTTGGCAATTTATTTTTAAAATGAATGCTAAATACCACCTAATACTTAGCAGAGTCTATTCTATATTCATTCTATGGGAACTTTCAAATTATTTTATTTACTACTATTTAGGTGACCACATAGGCTAGAAGAGAAACACAAAGTGTCTCAGACTTAGTTCACTTCAAACTATTTTCTGTCTGTTTTTTACATCATGGTTCAAGTATTATAACCCACTGATTTGTAGCACTGCTGTTCCTTCTCCAAAAAATCTTTGAGGTTTCAGCTCTCAATATTTAATTACCCAATTAATCCTGACTGAAGAAATCAACAGTATTTTCTAGAAATTAACAATACTTAGATTTTTAAGGAAACTAGTTCTAAAAGCTGTTTTTAAAAAAAAGCCACATTGTATTCATGTCAAATGGTTCTGGTAGCAGGGGTGCCTGCTACCTCTCTGTGGAAAGAGACCAGGGACTGCCCCATGCTGGACAGAGTGAGTTCCAGCTGGCTCCAAAATAGATCCACTGCTGCCTAAAGTAGAGCCAGTCAGAACACTGGGGGCACCTCTGTGATAACATGTTTACAAAAGGATAAAAACCACTGTGCAATAGCTGAGAAAGGGCTGCACAAGAACAACGCGATAGAAACAACCCTGCAGACACCAAGGTCGGTGGAGGGGGGGGGAGGAAGAGGTGGTCCAGGCAGCAGAGCAGAGATACCCCTGAAGAAGACCATGGGGAAGCAGGCCATCCCACTGCAGCCCATGGAAGGCCACAGTGGGGCAGATACCCACCTGCAGCCCAAGGGAGCAACTCATGCTGCAGTAGTTTGTGAAGGACTGTATCCCCTAAGTGAGCACCCCTGCTGGAGCAGGGGAGCAGTGTGAGAAGGAAGGAGAGGAGTGGCAGAGAGAGTACTGTGGAGTGCCCATCACTCCCATCCCCCACCCCCTGCACCACTTGTCAGGCAGAGGTAGAAGGGTTGGGAGCAAAGCTGAGCCTGGGAAGAAGGAATAAGGGTGTGAAGAATGTTTTTACTCTGGTTTTGTTATCCTTACTATCCTACTCTATTTTTAACTGGCAATAAATTCAATCAGTCTTCTGTTATGCTTGTGATAGTAATTGGTGAGCAGTTTCCCTGTCCTTATCTTGAACCACAAGCTTTTTCATCTTATTTTTTTCCCTTGCTTGTTTTCCCTGATCCTGCTGAGGAAAGGGAGTTAGAGCAGCTTTGTGGGTGTCTGGCAGACAGCCAAGGTTAACCTACCACAACAAATGCACCTAAAATAGGCGAGCTTTCCTTAATTACTGAAAATGTGCATTTTAAAAAATCAGGATGCAGCTCATCTGAAATTAGGAAGTTTAAGGTGAAAACATTGATTACTGTAAATTTCTCACTGATATTCAAACAAGACAGACATGTAACATCCATATATTCTCTGGACATTTAGCTATGTTATTTCTTAGTATTGAACCTCACTGAAAATACTCCATTTCATTTGAAAGGCAAAAGGCTTTTTGGTCAGCTAAAGTTACCATCACTCATCACCACCAGCAGCTCCGATTTTTGTTTTAGTAGACTCATGCAGGTCTTGGGGTATATGCTATACAATTATGTTTGCAGTTGATGATAGAGGGCTGTCCTCTTAACTAGTGAGGGATGTAAAAGTTATTCATATGCAACAAGAGTGTTAGCTTCATGACTTGTCATCCTTCTAATGATCAAGCTAACCCTAATGTTCCCTGGAGGGGGTCAGGGACTTGACAAGACCACCACCAAATAAACAAACTAACCCAAACAAACATCAAACAAATCACAACTCCCTCTCCTCACCCACTCCCCCCAAAAAAGTCCCTCCTTCCCAAAAAAAAAAACACAACAAAAAACCAAAATCAAGTTGAATACACTACACTTACCCTTTTGGCTTCCTGTGCATACATGGGATGAGCATACTGGATTAAAGCTTGCAACCGATTTTTCTTAGTGAAGGTGACAATCTTTAAGACAGATCCAAATCTAGCAAAAATCTAAGAAGGGATAAACATGGACTTTCAGAAACAATTCATGCACTAAAACATAGTATTTAATACTTCATATGAATTTCTGAAAATTATTTCTTTTGTGAGAGCTGAACAGAAATTGAGTGAAACTCAGAATTTTGTTTCAGGTAAACAAAACATTTTAAGAGAGGCTACAGCATATAGGGAAGGATAAAATTTCCTGTAAGATTTTGCAATGACAATTCAAGTAAGACTTGGTAAGACCAGCCCAGACAGGGATTTGTCCAGTACCTGCAGAGAAACAGCAGATAATCAAAGTTGAGGTTTGAGAAACAGACTCTCAAAAGTGAGTCAGTTGAGATGGGAATGGCAAACAGCATTTCAAGGTTTCCACACTTTTACATTCTGTACTTCAAACAAATTCTGAAAGTTTAGTGAACAAAAATACATCTTATATAGCTGATGTGCCTACAAATTAACTATACAGACCCACTGTCCAAACTAGAAGACAAAGAAGGAAAGGAGCAAGACAAAGATCAAGTATAGGACCTACCCATCTAATTTACAGTTGACTGGTATTTGATTTATTGCAAATGCAAGCATTACACAGAAATTTTAAAGGTTGAAATTTAATATAATTAAACTCAAAAAGAGTGTGCACTACATGAAGGTGTCTGTACAAAAGCAAAGCCACCAAGAATGAGAACAAAAGTGTAGCCAGGACACATCATGGAAGTGCAGAAGAAGTATGTCCGAATTAGCAGTGGAAAAGGAAAGGCAAGTTTGGGAAGCATTAACAGTTTCAGAACAAGCTCATAGAGATCAATGCAAAGTCAGGAAGTAGGCTCCCCCCAGATAAGTATTAAGCCTGGAATGAAAAAAAGAGGCCAGAGGTAAGGACAAGCAACTCTTGTCAGCCTATTAGGCCTAGTATCATGGATATAAGACACAGTTCAAAACCTTTTGTGCCCAGTTTTTCAGTCTCTCAGAAATGGGATTTTTACGCTGTAGTCATTTTGTGGTACAAGATAGAACAGAAACCTTTTCCACAGCAATTTAAAATTAGCCATTGTGTCCTATTCATAAAGCACTTCCCCCAAGAAAGGTCTAAATACAGCTTCTGAATGTAGGCCTTTCCACATTTATCCACAAGACTATTTAATAGAGTTTTTAAAGATAATGAAAATCAATGTATTCCTGTTTGGTTTTAAACCTAAAACCCAATGTGTATATATATATATATATATATATATCTCAATATGGTTTCTGCAAAGATAACACTGAATATTTTGTTTCTTATAATAAATATTTGAAGGTGAACTGTGGTAAAAAAAAGTTAGTTTCTTGACAAGCAGCTATAACTTACAAAATGCAACCAAGGTTTTGGATGACAGTTTTCATACTAGTGTTCCATATGATGCCATAGATAACATTGAAAATTTCCATTTCCTTTAACCTTACCACACTTTAAGTAGCATTACATTGCAGCTATCAAACACAAACTGCTGCTTTAATTAGAGGAGATTGTCCCACTGTAAAGGATTCCAAACAAGCTCCCTTTTTAAATATTGCTTAATTTTCTAGACCTGTTGCAAAAGTAGAATAAGGGTCACTGAGCAATTCAAAGACTGAAAATACAGTTCTGCAGCACTGAAGTAAACATTAATCTATGTAATTTAACATGAATCTCCTCTTCCACTGCTTGCTTAGTTAAACACGAAAACAACAACAGAAAAACCACTCACAAGATTAGATTTGCTGGATTTGTGGCACTATTAAATTAGTACAGCTTCCATAAGCACAGACATTTGTTCCCAGGTTATTCTGAATTATCCTAATCATCCTAAACAGATGACCTACTATTTGCACAAGTTGGGTAATGAGTGAACAATACCCATAGATACAAAAAAAGCAAATGTTTGGATGAGGCAAATTGCTACAAAGTGACAACTAGTATGCTAGTTAAATCGGTATCACTGGGGGGAGACACAATGAAAGAGGAAATACTAAGAGGTAATAAGAAAAACAAAGTGTTGGTAACAATCAACTATTGTTTGAGACACAAGTAGACCAGCAAAAAGTCTTCTTCCAAGACTATAGGTTCTTGTAAAAACATCCCAACTGCTTTATATCTCATTAATTCAAGAAACTTATATTTGGGCCATGGTTTTTATCACATGATTTACTAGCAATTACAAAACCTCCACATATGAAGTATCTGAAAAATCATCAATAAAACCTCTTGTGCAAAAAGAAATAGCCTTGTAAAGTTACTGGTTTTAAACTTACAGTTCTCAAGAGCATAGCATAACCGCTATCAGGAGTTATGGTAATATCTTTTGTAGGTATAGGCCACCACTATTCCAGGCTTTCAGAGGTAGTTAAAGTAAATGACATTCTACCAGCCGATGAACAATGAAAAACATTTGTCCAGGCAACTCTACTTATATGTCACTTGCATTGAATTATGGATACGAATATAAAACCCTAAAATATAATCCAAACTAAAAGAGTTACTCATTACAAAGCGTGATAAAATGTTGATCCAGATTCATAACAATCAGTATTTCATTTGATCATCATATGGGCATAATTTAGAAATACCACCTTGTGTTTGTTGCTGCCTCTGCAGAAACCAAGGAACTAAAAGACAGACAATATGAAAAGCTGAATACAGAAGCTCTGTTTACTTTGATTTTCTTGTGCAAAACTCATTTAAGCCTAGATCACTCAACTGAAACAAATAATTTCAAAGTGACAGTCCTCATTCAAACAATTAAGGATCCACAGGTGCTTTTAAAAAAGTCAACTGGTTTACAATGGCAACATTTGAGCCAATTTTAACTTTTTTTTTTTGATCAGTCCTTATTACCTGATGCAGCATTTCTAAGTCAACACTGCAGAGAACATTTTCAAAAGCGACTCGAAGCACAGAACTGTGACCTGGAAGGGCTGCACCTTCACAAGAAGCACTTGCTGTAGGCAGGCTTCCACACTGCATAGCATTCACAGCATGCAGTGCAGCTTGGACTCTCTGAAATCACCACAGAGCAGAAACCACAATTCACTTACACATACAAACACATACAAATGATGCATAGCTAAACAAAACTCTTACAAAGAAAAGCATAGAAAATGTAGTTAAAATGAATCTTGTAAAACGTTTTTCCTTTATCTGATTATCGATTAAAAACCCATGTAAATAGGTAAATCATACCTTTTCCTTCCCATTCCCCTCCCCCAAAAGAAGTCATACTTTTACAGAAATATTGCCTTTATTTTAGGTTAAGCTTAATACTTTGTAATGCCATGTGGACAGAACTTTTCTTTGATTCAGTAAGCTTTTGTCATTCTAGAGATTTTCCAGCAAATCAAAATTATGACCATATTGTAACAGATTAACAATCAGTCAGCACATCAGAAATTATTTGTTCTGCTTTACTAGGCTTTTGCTCTCTTCAGGAATTAAGTTCTGCTGGGCACAAGCTTAAAGGTGCATACTCTGCTTTTTTTTCTGGGCCAAGCTGTCAATCACACCAAAAAAACAACTTTAAATCTCACTCCTTACATTGTCTCACTGGGAATTTGGAGGTGTCTGGTTTAGACAGGCTTTCCTCAAAAAAAATTAGACTATCCCTGAGAGCACTATGGAGAGATGTTCATTTCCAAATGTAGTGTTGTGACTTGAAGTCACATTTCAGTAACAGCATGTCGTTGGAAGATGGACTAAGTATGGCAGATGGTAAAGAAGTTACCCAGTTTCAGGAACTTCTAACCCTGCAAAATAATCTGTACTTCAGGTCTGTGCCTAGAGACTAGGTCACCAAGAGTGTTCAGCTGCTCTGCTAGAATTTCTAAAATTTAAATAAAACTTGAATGTAAGAGCCACAAGTACAAAAAGATTTTTTTTTTTTTTAAGTAGAAGATTGAAGTGCTGGGGTTAAACTGAATGAGGGTTGGCACATGGGTGGTGTCCACAACCAGCCAAGAAAGACCCTCCTGATTGGTTTTTCACCCAGGGTCTGGCCAGCCTTGGGTGGGAACTGATTAGGAGACCACCACCAGGTGCCCCCACCTTCCACACTAACTTAGAGGTGGGGCAAGAAGCCACCTCTGTAAGAACTGATTCTGCTTGCAGTGGGGTTGGGAGGCCTGTCCACACAGTGGATGTGCTGTGTGGGGTTCTGGCTATTGGAGGGGTTCCTTGACGCTTCACAGCAAGTAGAGTTCCCAGTGACAGTGGGACAAGATTGAGACAGGAAGGGAATTACTGGGCTTTCTCCTGGATCAGGATGATTGCCTGGGTCCTTCCTTCCCCCATGGCCCGGTGTTGGAATCAACTTGCTCCTTTCTTCGCTACATTATGTGTTGTGAGTGAATACATTGGTCTTTTCATTCCTCCAGTGGTGGGCCACCCTGGATCTCCTGTATATGATCTAAGACCAGAGGGAGGGATCTGGCTCAAGTGTTGCCCATTAATGAAAATACCTTTCCTAGCTGGGCAAGTGACCAGTAGAAGAACAATGTTTTTAGGAGGAGAAAGTGTCATACACAGAGTTGAAAATACTTGGGAAATGGATAGAAGGAGTCTTATTTGCAGATAGGACTATAGTTTTCCTGAGGCTCTTACACACACCGCATCCTTAAAAAAAAGCCTCTTGATTTTATTTCTTTTGCAGATAGCAAACCAATCCAGCAAATTTGGATGAGGAAGAGACAAATAATGTTTATCGTGTTGGCAAGCTTGCAAGATTTCAGTAAATTTTGTGTCAGCACAAATTAAAAATGAGCAATTATTTTTGCCTGAGCCACTACTTGCAATGCAAGTGCAAGGCAACAAACAAAACTGCAATGCACACATCATATTATATAGTGTCTGTATCTAAATGGCAGGTCTTCCAGCTGTGTCCACTCCCAGCTCGGGGACTGATAGTGCTCTGACACTGGCTAGGCACTAGGAGCAGCAGAAAAGGCCTTAATGCTATGTAGGCATCACAAGATACTATGAAGAAAATTCAATCTTAGCTAAAACCAGTACAAAATTCAAGTGCAATTCTACCCTGTGAAACAGAAATATTATACTTACAGCCTGATCAGGGCACTTGTCAGTTTCAAGTTCTTTGTAATTGGAATACTGTATATAAACAGGCTGACTGTGGAGGTGAAACACAGGAGCATAGTAGTTCACCACAGCAACAGCAGCTTCTGTGGAAGCCATTTCCAAAAGTGCCTGCAATCAAAACAGTTTTCAGTGTTTTTTTTTTTCTCGTTTGTTTGGATTTTTGTTTGTTTGTTTTGGTGGTTTTTTTTGGTTGGTTTTTTTTTTTTTTTTTTTTTTTACAGAAGAGAGAAAAGCACCACTTATTCCCAATTCCACTCTCACTACAAGACAATCATGTGACAGCAGAGTACTGATTTGCTCAGTATTAAAATACATTTGTGTGTTCATATTTATGGGGATATTTGATTTGATCTGTGGGTTTTCTTAAAAGGTTTTATGTTTTAAGTACAATAAGTCATTAAAGAAGAGGTGGAACAAGAAGGACATGGGAAGCAATGCAACTAAAAATACGAAACTGCTAATGAATTTATTAGATTCCTGAATCCAAGCCCTGTTACCTAAGTAGCAGAGAGGCATACTGGTTAAAAAAGTAGGAACAGGACAGTAAACGTCTATCAGTTTATGCTTCATATTAACCCACCTTTCTTGTCTAGCCAATTTTTGAATTAATGCCTGTTTTTAGGAATTCTGTGTTTATTCAGGATGTGAACTACTCCATTATATCTAAAAGCATTTTAAAAAAGGTAGGTTATTTCGCATTAAAAAATTAACATGCATGTTAATTAATCAGGCAGGTTAGTTCAAGACATATGTTGAAATCAATAGTGCCAATGTAGCTCTTTATCATGTATATATTCTTACATAAGGTGGATTTAATGTAACTCGGTAATAATATTGCTAAACTAGATAATTATTTAATCCAAAAATACACTAAAACCCAAATAAATATCAAGGCATCCTTTCACAAACTGAAGCACAAAAATTTTGCACTATCAGTGAATTATTTAGACATTGTTGCAATCATTTCAGTCAAACGCAATACCAGAGGGGTCAGAGCACGAACCACAGACTTGCTCTAATAACTGAAACATGGAAAATGACATACCTGATTTTTATCTTTGAGCATCAAGAGGTTGGTTACTTTCCCAAAAGGGAGGCCTAATGCAATGATTTCTGCTTCAGTAACATCACTTGGAATTTGACGAAGGTGAAGGACACGTGAAGGCGTGCATGGTGTTTTGCCCGCTTTCAATTTCTCCTCACCATTCCCATCGTCTAAAATAGTTTAGGAAGAGGGATGGAGAAGAAAACAAGACGAACTTATTGCACAGTATAGATACCAAGATCTTGTCTCAGCTGACTTATCTATATCATCTTATCAACCGACACTGACTTATCTGTAGCTCTTTCAATCCTAAGAAAGGACAGTCCATATACAACCAAAGGACAGTTTAATAAGAACCCCTCAGGTGCTCCAAATATCCAGTGCAAGGGGAGCATGTGCTGCATTTGGTTTGGGTTTGCTTATTTTCTTGTGCAGGGTTTTTGTTAGGTACAAAGTTAACAATAAGCATTAGAAGTTTTTTTTAATTTATTAGGAGACAAACACATCTATCTTATTTTGAAGTTTATCATCTTTTCAACACCCTGGATGTCACTCTGAAGAATCAGTGGCTGCACTGGTAGTTAATAAAAAACACACTTGATCTCAATACAAATTTATATTTCTTGCCAGCTGTCTTCTTCTCACAATACCATCTACACAGGCCTGAAATGTATTTCAGCTATTAAATTATGGAGTTACACACTAATGCTGTTTCAACCCAAGAAGCAGCCTACAGACATCACACTGAATTGATTAGCAAAACTATGAAAAATCTGACATGTGCAGGTCAAAGAAATTAAAATCTTTATGTTAGGAAGCAACTGAGAAGACTCTTCCTTCCCCTTATTCCCTATCCAAAGTAGGGCAAGTAAGTCTTAGATGCTTCTAGAGAGGTCATCTGCTCTGTCCCTTGCCCCATTATAAAAATCAGCTATTTGGAAACCTCTACTGACAGGCAATTGTCTATGTCCGAGTAAATTAAGTTAACTGTCCTGGTTTGGGGTAGAACAGAAGTAATTCTGTTCAGCAGTTTTACTTTTCAGCTAAAGGTCTTCCACCTAAATGCTCTTCCTGAAATTAGCAGCATATTACAGACAGTGCCTACTTGCCTACCTGAGCAAGAAAAAAAAAAATAAAGTGTTTTTCCTACTACTTTCTTTGGAAAAAAACACTACTACCCATCTCAACTAACAGAGAGACTGTTTGGAGACAGCAACTGGTGGGAAATATCTGAAAAACAAATCACAGGACTGTGCTGCTCCCCAAAAAGTTCTGGAAGTAGGGCAGAGAACTGAAATGAGAACAGTCAAAGGAATCAGCTTAACTATCAGCTCTATCACAAATCCACACAATGTGCCCTATGTTCCACCAAACTGTGGCTGATATAGAATATTCATCTTCTGTCTCTATAATCCTCACAGCTTTGAAATACTTCAAATTCCCTTTAAATGCACAACTGGAGGAAATCTGAGTAGGTACTTTAAAATCTGTACAGAAGGCTATTGGTATGCTCATGATTATGGAAATAGATTTTTTTCCTCCCCCCCATATCAGCTTCGGAGGTCCTCAATACTGACATTAAATTGAATAGGCTCCAGTGGTTCTATTGTTGAGTCAGATTATAGTTCAGGCTCGGCAAGTCTGCTCATGGTCATAATAAAGAGTATAAAAAACTCAACAACAAAAAGTACATTTACAGAGAAAATGTACAGTGTTTAAGAACTGTGATAATCTTTTTTTATATATACCTTCATGTGGAGTTGAATTGCTCATGGTGTCTGTCACAAGCCTCTTATGAAGAGAGAGAAGCTTATCAAGTCCACACTAAAAAAATAAAAGACAAGATTACTAGTAAAAGGTGTTACAGAGAAAAAGCTTGATAGAGTGCAACAGCTCCTGTAATTTATTCTTCCTAAAAACATCCCCTTTCTAAACAAGTTATCCACTATTGCTGTGAACTTATTTTTCAGGAAAAAAATGCCCACCACACAACTTTTTCTTCTGTCTAAAGATGTTTGCAAGTTTAGTTGCGATACACTTCTTTCTTCTCTTATTACTTATCCTGCTACAGTTTACATTTTAAAAGATCAAGAATAACAAATGCTTAAGAAAAAGAAATGAGCTGGCTGCAGGCTAGGAGTTTGCAATACAGCATTGCTTTCTATATGAGTAGACAGACACATAGATAAGGTCACCATTTGTGACTGGACACAGTGGACCTAGAGCAGAACTAGCTCAAGGCATACTTAAGTATACTCAAAAATTCTTTAGGTAACCTAAACAAGAGACAAGGAACAGATGTGAAGCTAGAGGAGTTTTAATGAAATCATAGCATAGAATGGTTGGATTGGAAGGGACCTTTCAAGCTCATCTAGTCCAACATCCCTGCAGTAAGCAACATCTTTAATTAGGTTGCTCATAGCCTCATTCAACCTCGCCTGGAATGTTTCCAGGGGTGAGGCATCTACCACCTCTCCGGGCAACCTGTGGCAGTGTCTTGCCATCCTCATTGTTAAAAAAAATTTAAAAAACCTCTTCCTTAACCAAGATCAGAACAAATAGCTTGTCTGCGTACATGGAGCAAGAACGAGAAATTAAGGACTACAAGGCAGCAACAGGTGAAGTGATTAAAAAAATAAATAAAAAAAAAACAAATAGAAAATTAATGCACTATAGCTGGTAGTAAAATGAGAAATTGAACAACTGAAAAACCTCACAGAAATTGAAATCAAAAGAAAATCCTGATCAAGCCGAGCAAAGCGTGACTAAGGACCTTAACTGCAAAGATAATGGTTAGATAATTCAACGATCTGAGCATTCATTCCACTGGCTTTCACAGGAGACTTCAGGTGCAGTTCCCTGTCAGCTGAAGTTGACCCAAGGCTGCAGTGAGCAGGGACAGACATGTCATCCCTCGCTCTCGTGTTTCCACGGCTCCCCCTACAGCGACTGCAAGGCAGCACGGTACCAAAAGAGCTTACACAGAACGGGCTCACACACAATTGCTACACCATGAGGATGGTGCTGCACTTTTGGCAACAGTCCCAAGTTTGAACAACTTTAGCTAACAGGGAAACAGCAAGAGCAGGGAAGAATGATATCAACAGGAACAGTCACCTACACACTCTGCACCTCTGTCAGAAACGCTACCTCTTACTCAAGTGTGGAAGTCTCATCCACAGACCTAAAAAGACAGGCTGGCATGAGAAAAGAAGGGGGAAAAAAGTCTCAAATGTAGTCCTCTATAAAGATTAACCAGCATAAAACAAAATTTAAATTTCAAATGACGCACAAGAGTCAAAAGCAGGAAAAAAGAGGCAAGAGAGCAATTTTGTGCAACAGTTGATGAGAGCAAAAGAGAATTAAGAACCAGACTAGTTGAAAGAGAAGAGGGAGACCTTAGGAACCATACAATCAGTTTAGACAGCAATTCCACAACCTATACACCCCCCACAAACAAACGGATTAAAAGAAAACTAAAGCACATTTGAGAGATTAAAAAAGGGAGAAGACTCCCACTCCAGTGAGAACTTCCTTCTTTTTTGAAGTTTTCAAAAATGTAGTTTCAAAGCAAAAGTGAGAAAAGCTGATCTTTGCAAAATTACTCATTACACCTTTTACTTACATTCTCTAAAAAGATACTTCCTAATGCAATTTGCCTTTAGATTAATCAGTACTTATACAAGAGTGTGCTTCTCAACCTGCCACCCTGTCGAGGCTTCCACTGCAAGAGTGCTAAAAGATGGAGGCAAAGTTTAGGCTGCACTGCTCAGAGTCATCAGGGAAAGAAAAACATGGAAAATAAATCTTCCTAACTTTCGTTTCAAAACTCCTAGATTTCAAGAACAGCTAAGATTTCACAGGTCACAGAGGTACAGGATGAACTTTAAAATAACAAAGTCTACATATTTGAATAAATTTAGAAGCACTGACTTTAGCAATCTTTTCCATTTTCATGTATGTTACAATGGTACAGTACTTCACCAATATTAGGTGTAGCTGCTTTCCTGAGAAAGCTGAATTTGCCACCATAGTCAAACCTCACAGGCTTTTGCCTATATTTTATGTTAGCATTTAAAAATCCAACAGAAAAATATCAACAGTCACATTTGCACTTAAAAAGCAGTGAGGGAATTTGGTGGTACGAGTAACAAACTTGGTTTTATTACTTAGGTTCAAGTTAAGAACTTTATCCAGTAACTGGAGCACAGTACTTCAAACTTGCTAGAAAAAAAAAAAAAATCTTCTGAGAATTTCATACTGTTTGAGCTTTATGGCTGTAACGACTTGCCACGTACTAGAAGGCCTTCAGCGTGGTCTAGGCAAATGCAATTGGGACTACATAAATAATCTTTTGATTATCGATTAACCTTGCAGAATAGATGTCAATAAGCTCACTTCCATAAATGCACCTCTCTCAGGCCCCAGCGGGACGGCAGGCAGCGCCACCTCCCCCTTTTTTCTGCTGTGGAACCCCCTCGTTACACTTCAGGGGCAAGCCCAAAGCTAGCACATCGAACAGCAGTCTCCAAAAACTCGCTCTAACACCCGCTCAGCATCAAGGGAGCAGCCCGCCGAAGGGTTTTTTACGACCTATGTAATAAGGTTAAA